TCCCCCCCAGGACTATGGGAAACAGCGATGGCCTCTGCTGCTGGCCCCGGCAAGGAAATGAGGGAAGCCCTTCAACCTTGTCTCAGCTAAGGATCTCGGCTAAATACTGAGTCCTGGGCTCAGTCCTGGGAAAGAGAAGGGCCAGCAGCTCAGCCTGGCAGATGTGTAAACAGGTCAGAATCATGGAGGATAAACTGTGGGGAGCTTTTGTCAAGGCGGCAGAGCCAGGGAGGCCCACCCAGACTGTGAAGGCTGAGGAGGCCTCCTGGAGGAGGCAATATCTGAGATTTCTTGGAAGACCCAGGGGAGAGTTTTCCTGGCAGAGGGCCTAGCATGAGCAAAGACCCAGAAGTGTGAGAGCTCAAGCCTGGGCAGGAAGAGCAAGTGGTTAAGTGTGGACAGGCATAAGGTGTGAGGTGAGCAGATTGTGATGAAAGGCAGGTTGGCAAGCAGGCAAGGGGGCTGGGTTTCCTCCTGCTGGTGGTGGCCAGCCTTGGAGGGTTCTGAACGAGGATAATGGGCAGAAGCCCATTTTGACTGGAGGGTAGGGGGTGGATCTGAGGGGCAAGACCAGAGGCAGAAGAATGGTGAAGAGGCTGCTCTGAGAGGATGAGGGGACAGGTCCAGATGGAGAGGAGAGGACAGCCTTGTTACACACCTAGGGAGGCCTTTAGAGAAGCCTGGCTGTGCAGGAAACAGGTAGATAGCTGGAGGCAGGTCTCAGGTTCGAGGAGGATTTTTAAAGATGAGCGATGTTTGGGCTGAGAGAGAGGAGACAGCAGAGACTCCTAGAGGAGGAGAGAAGGGATGAAACCACTGCTAGGGAGGTGGAAAAGGGGCTCATTTGGGGACCCATTAAGAGATTTTCGGCAGCACTGAGGGCCCAGCATAGGTGGAAACCGTGAGATTGTGGCAGGGCTGCCAGCACCGCTGCACCCCTGGCACCAAGTAGGTAGCAGGAGAGGTTGACTTAATGCTAGCTGGGGACGTATTCATTCCCGTCCCAAATGCACCCCTGCTCTGGGTCCCCCATCTGATGATTTTTCGCTTTCTTTACTAGCAAACTACGGAGCCAAACTTCCCTGAGATCCTCTTAATTGCTATCAACAAGTATGGGGTCAGCCTCATTGATCCCAGGACCAAGGTGAGCGTTGACAGGAAAGAGCGGGCGGGGGCAGGCTGCTCTGTCTGCACGCCGACAAAAGCCCCTGCCAGCCAACATCTTCACTTCATCTGCCCTCTTGGCCACACATCTTGAGAGGCTGCCTGTGTTTGCTCTGTCTGCTTCCTTACTGCTCTGTCAAAATAGCTTTTCTAGAGTTACTAACAAATACCTTATTACTAAATACAATGAACCCTTTTTAGTACTTAGACTTTCGACATCATTGGACGCTGCCATCCACTTGATCCTTCCAAAATGCTCTCTGCTCGTCTTGGTCAGGATGGCAGGCTGTGCTGGGGTAACTGCTGCTCATATTTATGGGCCAGAGCAGTCCTCACCGAAGGGGCCAGGAAGCACAGTTCTACCATGTGCACAAGAGGGGTACACCTGGACTGTTGGCAACAGGTGCCAATGACCACCATCTTCCCATTGGCTTCATGTGCCCACTTTTCTCTCTTGGTCATCTTCAGAGACTTCTGTGGGCTGCTTCTTTACCTTGCTCTCCAAGGTTCTATCCTGTCTTCCTGTCGCTTTCCTCAAACTTCCCCTGGACCAGCTCATTGAAACCCATCTCAGTTCCTTCAGGCCTCTTACATTTCCAATCCCAGTGCCATGTGCCCAACAGCCTCTTGGACTTCCCTGGGTATCCTGCAAGCCGGTGCAACCAAGGCATGGAGGGGGAAGGCACCTGCCTGCCACAGCAGCTCCATGGCAGAGCTGTCCTCTACCTTCTTGTCCCTTCTCTTATCTGAGAGCCGAGGCCTGTCATATGGGTGGTGTCCATGGGCTGGGGCCAAGGGGAGTGAGGCCAGAGGGTGGGCCAAGGCTGTGCAGCTTCAGACTTTCTGTTCCTCTAGGACATCTTGACCACTCACCCCTTCACCAAGATCTCCAACTGGAGCAGCGGCAACACCTACTTCCACATCACCATTGGGAACCTGGTGCGCGGGAGCAAACTGCTCTGTGAGACGTCACTGGTGAGAGCTCTTCCTTCCGGGCCTGGTGGGCTCCCCTGCTTCACCTGCAGCTTCATCCTCTCCCAGCCCTTGGAACAAACATGAGGAGTGGGTTGCTTGGCCTGGATCAGGATCGAGGGTTAGGCTGGGGCCAAGGTCAGGTCAGTTTAAGGCTCAGCTTAGGTCTTGAGGGAGAGGCTTAATCTGGGGCTGAGGAGCAGACCCTTCATTTGGTAACTATTGTTTTAAGTGCCTTCAGTATCTGGGAATTGAGCTTTCAGCCCCTGAGTTCAACAGTAGAACCAGTAGCAATGAGGTCTCCTGGACTGAGCTCAACTTCCAAGGCATAACTCAACTGGTAGAGCCTTCAGAGTCACTCTTAGAGGTAGGCATCCAGGATTTGAAGGACCCAGGAGGTAAGTGGGGTCATAACAGCTTAGAACCTTAGACATGTAGCTGGATGAATCCAACCCTTCAGCTGTGCAGCTGGGGAGACAGAGTCCAAAGTGGGAAAGGATTTGCCTTTGCCCAGGGTTCTGCCTACTGCAGGGCTTCCTGGGAGCTGTGTTCTGGGTCTGAGTGGGCTGGCCCTGTCCTAGCGTGTGCTGTTTATCTTCTTACCACTGTTTCCAGGGCTACAAGATGGATGACCTCTTGACTTCCTATATTAGCCAGATGCTCACAGCTATGAGCAAACAGCGGGGCTCCAGGAGTGGCAAGTGAACAGTGGAGAGGTGGCACTGGCTCTGCGCCTGCTCCCTGGGCAGCAGCTGGCTCAGGCCCATCAGCTACCTCTGCAGCTGGGGGAAGAACTATTCCATCCAGGCAGGGAGGAAGGACTGGCTGGCTACCAGTGACTGCACCAGCTCGGCCTCCGGCCCTTCTTCCAGTGAGGTGTCCCAGCTGGAATACAGAACTTCCCTCCAGCCGCCCTTGAGGAGCCTGGGTTGGATCTGGTCCTGGCTTGCTGTGGCCTTCCCAGTTGTTAGACCCAGTTCTCCTTAGATGCTTTTCTCATCTCAGACCAGCCCTACCACGCGACCTCCTTACACTTTCTGTGCACCACTGAGACAGGAATCAAGAAGACAACCTAGTTCTCCATACTGGGAGCAAAATCAAACCAACCCAGCAAAGAATATCTGACACCTAAGGAACTGGTTTAATTTCCCAAACTCCAGGATCCTCAGCTGGGGTGAGGGAGACAGACCACTTTTATATATTGTAGTGTGAGTGCCGAGCCCCTGCTCCCTGAGGATCTTGGGGCATAAACCGTATGTTTCACCTTCTGGCCCTAGAGTGTATTTGTTGTGGGGAGGGCAGAGAGAGGGGAAGATTGTGGGGCCTGGACAGGGCCATTTGTGTGTGCAGGTGGCTTGTATAACCATCTCCCTGGTCTGTGTGTACAGGGCCAAGCTGGTTCAGGTTTGGGGATAGCGGTGCCTGAACCCAAGGTGTGCTTGAAAGGGACCGGTTGCGGAGAAATGTTGGACATCAGCTTGGGAGATAAGGATGTAAATGTGCATGGACTGGGGATCTAGAGGGACTGGCTTCTGGGCCTTAACTAGGGCCAGTGGAGCCAGAGTGGCCCTTGCATCCTGCCAGAAATGTCTCCTTGGCTCATCAAGAGACCACCAGGAACCCCAAGGACAATGCTGCTTTGGGTTAAATCCTTACATCCAGTGCGTGCCTGTAAAATGTTTTTGACCAGATGGAACGACCAAGTTTAAACATGACCTGGGGAGGTCTGGGGTGGGGGCTTCAGACAGGAAGGTGTGATTTGGGGCTTTGGCTGGGATGAGTGTCAAGAGAAGTAACTGGAGAATCCCCCTGAAGTGGGCATGTTTGTCATCTGCCTCAGGGTCTCCAATACTTAAGCAGAGCAAGCAAATCCTGGTTGCCCTCACACTCAAGTGTCTTAGGTCATCTGCATTTAGGTGCCCAATGACAAGGTGCCCATGGGGAGTGCTATTCTCTCCAATTGGCTGTGTGGGAGAGGGAGGGGCTGGTTGCGAACTGGAGGCCCCGAACCAGGTAGCCCTGCTTTCTGGAATGACCATGTGGCTGTCTGAGACAGCCCTGTCTCACCAATGGTCACATGACTCCACAGTCAGCCCAGGATATATCTGAGCCAGAAGGAAGGTGCTGTGGTAGCCTGCCCCTATACCATCATCATATAGATGGGGATGCTGAAGCCCAGAGAAAG